GGCCTCAAGACGGCCCAACAGGCCTTCAAGACGCCCCAAGAAGTCCCTAAGCGGCGTCCCGAGAGGGCCCCCGCAAGCAAACATCGTCGCATTTCATTGGGGAAACGTGCATGTTTTACATATCCGCCTCTTCGTTGTTCACACCTTTCAAGGCGGTCCAAGAGGCCCCCAAGATCACCCCAAGACGGCCCGCGAGACCCTCAAGACCGCTCAAAGACGACCCAAGAGCGCTCCAAGAAGGCCCAAGAAATCCTCAAGACGGTCCAAGAGGCCCCAAGACGGCCCCATGATGGAGGTCCACAGGGGCAACCTGAACGGAAATTTTGAGCCCCCCGCCCAAACGCGCCCCCGAAAGGCCCCTACAAGCCCCTAAGTAGTCCCGCGAAGCCCCCAAGAGAGCCCTAAGAGGCCCCCAGCAGGCTGCAAGAAGGCCCCAAGAGGCCCCCAAGAGACCCCCAGGACGCTCCCAGGAGGCCCCCGGCCAGGCAGACCCCCCAAAGAGACCGCCAAGAGGGCCCACCCAGAGCCATCCACGAGGCCTCCCAAAGTTCCCAAGAAGCTCCCACGAAGCTTCCAAGGGTTCCCAAGACCCCACGAAGCCTCCAAGAGCTCCCAAAAAGTTCCCCAGAGGCCTCCAAGGGCTCCCAAGAGGGTCACAAGTACTCCTCCTGAGAAGTTCCTTAATGCTCCCAGAAGAGACTCCCAGAAGCATCCATGAGCTCTCCGAGATGCCCCCTGCCCAGATCCCCAACACTCAGTTTTTCTCGCGTCCCTCACCCTTGGATCCTTCACTGCGTTTTCCTCCAATTTCGATTGGATGAGGATGAGTTTGGGATGGTCTTGGACATGTGCGGGGGGCTCTGGAGGTCAGCGTGAATTATGAGAGGTTGTCGGTTGCGTGTCTTCTATAAGCACAACCAGGAATATGAAAAATGGAAAGACCGCACATGCATCACCGATCCCCGAACGGCCCACACGCGCATGCATTCGGCAACGTGTATGATGTGGGATGTCAAGCACGACTGGCCCCATCCTCCTCGAAGTGGTCGGCCTCATCATCTTCCGTCTCCACCTCCTTCTATCCGTCCCTCCCTCCCTCATATCCCTGCCTCACCTCCCTCTCCTCCAATTTCTCCGATTCCTCCTCATATTTCCTCCCAAAGTGGGGCGGGGCGGACCCCGAGTGGTGGGGGAAGCGACGGAGGAAAGGGACGCGACGGAGGAGAGGGAGGGAGGTGGGAAGGGAGAAGTACACGTCAAAGGTCTAACCTCGAGTCTCGAGGTTAGCCTTCGGGGGGCCTCTTCGTCGCCACGGCCGGGCAGCACGAGAAGCATCAACACCAGCAGCGGCACCGGCATTCACAACACCACCACCACAAACAGAAACAACGGCACCAGCAGCAGCACCAGCAGCAGCACCAACAGCTCGAGAACCAACACCACCAGCACCAGCGCCAGCAGCAGCAACACCACCACCACCACCACCACCACCGCCAGCACTAGCAGCAGCGACAGAACGGCCTCCAAGACGGCCCAAGAGCGCTCCAGAACGCCCAAGATGGCCCCGGGACGGCCCGAGAGGCCTCAAATCGGCCCCAAGAGCGCTCCAAGCAGTCTCAGGAGGGCTGCAAGATGCCCAAATCATTGATTCCCATTTGGTGTTTTCAATGGTTTTGACGCCACGCTTCGAGCTTCCCGTTTCGAGCTTCCGTTTCGAGCTTCCCGTTGATTCATTGATTCATTTGATTCCCGTTTCGAGCTTCCGACGCTCCAAGACAGACCACGAGCCTTCAAAAACCACCCCTAGACAGCCCAGGAGGCCCCCAAGAGAACGCCAAGACGACCCCAGAGGGCTCCACAACGGCCCACGAGACGCCCGAATGGCCCAAGAGAGCCCCGAGAGGGCCCCAAAGGGACCCAAGAGAGGGAACGCAAGCCGACAATTCGAGACTTCCGCCCCAAGCAGCCCCCATGAGGCCCCAAGAGGCCTGCAAGAGACCCCAAGAGGCCTAAACAGAAGCCCCAAGAACCCCCCCGACGGCCCCCAAGAGCCCTCAAAACTGCCTCCAAAGAAACCCTCGAAAGGCCTGCCACGATATGTCAACGAACATCCAAGAGGCCTCCGACCTACAACCCAGGCGCGGTGGCGGGATGGGCCGAAAACCACTAGATCCGCCGCCCCCTGCTTGCAGGGGTGCACGGCGTGCTGGATGTTTCAGGTTTTGGTTTTGGTTCTTTTTCTAAAAGAACTCCCCAGTGGGCTTCGGCCCGCCCCGCCGGCCACCCGTAATTTTCCCAAAATCCGTCTGTCAATGCCTTCGTTGCCCCAACTTGGCCCAAGATGGCCTCCAAGACGGCCAAGATGGCCCAAGATGGCCTCCAAGATGCCTCCCAGACGGCCAAGATGGCCTCCAAGACGGGTAAGATGGGCCTCCAAGACGGCCCAAGATGCCTCCAAGACGGCCCAAGATGCCCTCCAAGACGGCCAAGATGGCCCCAAGATGCCTCCAAGATGGCCCAAGAGGCCTCCAAGACGTTCTCCAGGAGAGCCCGAAGAGGCCAAAATCATTGGTTTTCCTTAGGTTTTTGAAGGTTTTTTGCGTTTTCTTTTTTCGGCCTTCCGACGGCCCAAGAGGCCCCCAAGATCGCCCAAGAGGCCTCCAAGAAGGCCCTATGACGGCCCAAGGGCCCCCCAAGACGGCCCCAAGAGCGCCCCAAGACGGCCCAAGAGGCCTCCAAGACGCCCAACATGGCCTCCAAGACGGCCCTGAAGCGCCCCAAGAGGGCCCCAAGACGGCCCAGAGAGGCCCCCAAGACGGCTCCAGACGGCGTCAGACGGACCAGGAACGCCCTAAGACGGCCAAAGAGACCCCCAGGAAGCCCCCAAAGGCCCCCAAGAGGCCCAAGGAGGCCCCCAAAATGCCTCCAAGAGGCCTCGAAGAGGCCCCCAAGAAGCCCCCAACAGACCCCAAGGGTGCCCCAAGAGACTCCTAACAACCCTCATCCTCCTACTCTATTTGTTCCTCTTCCTCTTCCTGTTCATAATCATTCTCTCCCATGTGTTCCCCGAAAGCTTTCCAAACCGACTCGGGGAACTCATGGTCCGATAGCTTGGCCAAGCTCTAGTCCAACTTTCGGCCACATCGGCGTTTCCAAAAAGGCAGGGGGCGGCGGTGATTCGCCGTAGGCGTCTTCGATAGCAACCTCGTAAGACAGTAGAGGCCGAAGCCCCCACAGCAAGCTCCAAACAAACTGCTTCATCCCCATGCGTTCTGCCGCAGCGCCTCTGCAAAACGACCACGGCCCACCAGCGCCGCCTGGCTCGCGACCGCGCAAGCAAACGCCCGCGATGGCACAATGCGGGCCGGCGGAGTGAGCGAAGCAGTGATAATAACATTTACATATAGGCTGCTCAAGGATGAGCTCTGATGTTGCTTGCTGAACGTATCCCCTGCACGAACATCCGCACGTTCCTTCGGCACGTTGGGATGCGTTAGAATGCTTATGTCCTCTGGTGAAGTTAAAGGCGCGTCGGACGCTGGGGCGTTACAAGGGGCGTTGGCGCGTAGTTTACAAGGCGTGCTGCTGTATGAGGTTTTGGCGTCTTTCAAAAGGCCGACCCTACCTACTCGGACGCATCCTCAGAAAATATCATTTTGGTTTTGATTTCCAGCGCCCTTCTCGGCCTCCAGGCGCCTCGATTAGAGCCAAAGACCGCCTTCAAACAGCTACAAGACATCCTCAACTGTTCCCAGACTGCCCAACGAGTCCCGGAAGGCTCCGAAATTTCACTCATGTGTCGCAACCCCTAACAAGGCTCCAAGCAACGCTCCAGCGAGGGCACTAGCGAGGCCCACGGGGCGATGTACACACATGCTGCTGGCTTCCAATCGGCGGAGAGCGAGGGATGAAGTCAGAAGAAGAAGGCCTTCTCAGAAGGCGGCGGGATTTCTCAGAAGCCCTCGCGCCTTCTAAGAAGTTTTTGTTGCGTCTTAGGGGAAGGCTTGGAAAACTTCTCAGAAGGCCCGGAGACTTCCGAACCTTCTGAAAAGGCTCGCCCCAACTCACTTCCCCCAGGCTCGCCGCCGAACCAAGGCTTTTCGACCTCATTCCGCCTCAGGAAAAATTCTGAGAGCCCCAAAAAGCCCTCACGACCCAAACCGGTCCCCAGAGCGCCCCAGGACTGCACTGCTCGGCCTCACGACAGCCAAGGCAGCTTGAGATCGCCCCAGAACGGCAACGAAGCGCTCTGAAGACAATCCCAAAACGGCACAACAAGCCCCAACAAAATCCAAGACCTCCTGAAGATGCCCCAAGAAGCCTCCAAAAGATGCCCGGAAGGCTTCCAACGAGGCCCTGAGAGGCGAAGGACACTATAAACACTCTGGGGCCTCCGGGAGGTCAGATCGACCCCGACAAACTTAAGATGGCCTCTGAAAGCCCACAAGACGGCCCAGGACGGCCCCAAGAGCACCGCACTACATCCCCAGCTGACCGTGTGCAAACAGACAATTGCCACAGACAGCTTGATAGTGTGCAACGACCTGCTGGCAGAGGCGATGGCAGCTTACCCGAATACGCTGGAAGATCGAAAGCAGTCTGGTCGGGGCATGTGTGTTGGTCGTGGCGTAGTCCCAAAGGTGCGTCCAGCTATAGCGGTATTATGAGCGACGGTGGAAACCAAGACAAGGGGTGACTCAGGAATGACGGTGGAATAAAGCCGAGGTCGGAGGGATGCGGGATACCGAGTGAGGGACGAGGGGCGAGGAGAGGGCAGAAATAAGAGGAGCAGGAAGCAACTCAGAAGTATCACCACCAACACACATCACAAAGAGTTGAAACTTGAGAAAGAGAAGGAGGAGCTAGAGGAACAGGAGGACGGGAAGGGCAGGAGGATGAAAAGAATGAAGACAGAAACGACAACACATCACACGTAAGGAAGGTTGTCACGACGAGCAGGAGCATCACAAGGAGACCGAGGCCATGCTCAACACTACCTGTGGAATGGTCGAACCTTTGCAGCTGCATCACTCGCGCTCCAGCTGTGACACGCGATAATAAAGCACCCAATGATATGGGCGCCCCACCATCACAACATCACGATCATCACGGTGATGTTATCGCTGGAGCCTGAGGATGCCGCCATTTCCTCTCCAACGCAGTCGGGCTGCATCCCAACCGCGAGGAAGAGGGAAGAGCAGGGGAGGAGACAGGATGGGGGAGCAAACTCCAAATGCCCCCCTGTGACTGCATTACACTCCCCTACTACATCCGTTCTCCTCCGGGCTAATTCCCTCCACGCCCCGTTCCCCCGCTGCACCACCGCGCTGGCACAGAGGCCGCGCGCCGACGTGAGCAAGGAACGAGAGCACCCAGAGGGACAATCTTTCCCCCTCCTGCTCTGCCTCCTCCTGCTCCTCCTGTTCCTGCCCCTCCTCCTCCTTCTCCTCGTCCTCCTCCTCTTCCTCCTCTTCCTCCTCCTGCTACTCCTGCTCCTGTTCATTCTCCTCCTCCTTTTCCTCCTGATCCTCCTCTTTTTCCTCCTGATCCTCCTCCTGATCCTCCTCCTCCTCCTCCTCCTCCTCGTCCTCCTCCTCCTCCTCCTCCTTTTGTTCCTCCTCCTCCTCCTCGTCCTCCTCGTTTTCCTCGTCCTCCTCCTCCTCCTCCTTATCTTCTTCCTCCTCCTCCTCCTCCTCCTCCTCCTCCTCCTCTTCCTCCTCCTGTTCATCCTGCTCCTGTGCATTCTCCTCTTCCTCCTCCTCCTGCTGCTGCTCCTCCTCCTCCTGATTATCCTGCTCCTCCCTCTCCTCCTTTTCCTGCTCCTGCTCCTGTTCCTCGTCCTCCTCCTCGTCTTCCCCCCCACATGCTTCTTCCTCCTCCCCTTCCTCCTCCTCTCTCCTCCTCCTCCCCTTTCCTCCTCTCCTCATCCTCCTCTCCTCCTCTTCCTACTCCTCCTCCTCCCCTCCCCCTCCTCCTCCTCCTCCTTTTCCTCCTTCTCCTCCTGTTCCTCCTCCTCCTGCTCCTGCTCCTCCTCCTCCTCCTCCTCCTTCTCCTCCTCCTCCTCCTCTTGCTCCTTCTCCTCCTCCTCCTCCCTCGCCTCGTCCTCCGCCTCCTCCTCCTCCTCCTGCTGTTCCTACTGCTTCCCCTCTTCCTCCTCATCTTCCTCCTTCTCCTCCATTCCATGTTATAGACATCTTCTCCGTGTCGCATCACGATGCATTTTTTTTGGGCGGGCCGGGCGTTTCGCCTGAGACTTCCCGACCAGGTATGGCTCTGAAGCTATATTGGCAAGAATCTCACAAATTGGTGGCGGGTGTTTTCACACTGTGGCTCTCGACATAACGCGGCGCACACTCGGTCTAAAAAATATAAGATATTCACGGGTTGAGGGCGGGCCGTTTTCAACATGTGGTTCTCGCCTTAGCGCGGCGCACATTTGTTTACCAAAAACTGCAAGAACTTCACGGATTGAGGTCGGTTCATTCTCAACATGTGGCTCTCGCCTTGGCGCGGCGCACACTCGTGTTAAACAGTGTCAAGACGGGTTGGGGGCGGTTCTTTTTCAACATGTGGTCCCCGCCTTAGCGCCACACACATTCGTTTACACAAATTTCAAAAGTTTCGCGGGTTCCCAAAATCAGCGTGTCAGAAATTGTGTTTTGGGAGGATTCAGGATTACGCGGGTGCAACTGTTACGTTGATTCTCTGTGAAGTTCTAGGAATGGCGTTCTGGCACGATTCAGGATCGTGAAGACGCAGCAATCAGGTTGATCCGTGGCGTTGGAATCGCGAAGACAAACTTGTCGCAAACTTCAGGGTATTCAAATGTGTGTCTTCCAACGAGGCACTTCCATCCATGGAAATGACCCGTTCTAGGGGCCGATGGAGAGGGAGCGCGGAGGAAGGGTTTACTCCAACATCGCTGGTGACTTTTAGGTTTACACTGGTCCTCCTCCTCCTCCTCCTCCGGCTCCTCCTTTCCTCCTCCTCCTCCTTCTCCTCCTCCTCCTCCTCCTCCTCTTCTTCCTCCTCCTCCTCATCCTCCTCCTCCTGCTCCTCCTGCTCCTCCTGTTCCTCCTCCTCCTCCTCCGCCTCCTCCTCCTCCTCATCCTTCTGCTGCTCCTCATCGCTCGCTCGTGGCTGTTGATCGAACTTGTCGGCGCAGCCGGTGGCCCCCTCCTACGGGCGCCGCGTGACACCGCAGTAGGGGGCCATTCGGAAAATGGGCCGTTCCGCCCGCTGACGAAGCTGACGCCTGAAAGAAGAGGTTGAAAAAAGGGCCACGGACTGCGGGCGAATCGAGGAGGGGAGGACGAAGAGGTGGAGTTGCGGGTCGAAGCGCCCGCCGTGTTTTCCCCCCCGCCACCACCCCCAACACCTGCCTCAACTCCTAAGACACCTCCAAACTCAACCACCCCCATCCCTCCCTGCCCCATTCAGAGGTGGTAGTATTTCAGGGGGATGCAGTTCGCGCGCGTGGGGTAGCCGAGGATGTAGGGGGACAAGGATGCTCATGCTGACGACGCGGAGGATGCGGTTCAGGGAGTACTGGTTGGTGAGGAGCAATTGGAGCGTAGATCGGAGGTCGGGAAGGCGTATCTGTTGGCTGTGACGACGTCGGGCGCGTGGGCACCTCGTGCTGTCGTCCAGCGTTTGGTGGGTGATGGCGGGGAACAAGATCGCCGCAACTCAAGGGCGTAATTAAGTTGTTAATGGACTCGTCGAGGCTGGGGATGAGCTTGGACATGGATTCCTTGGCCAGAGTGATCGCCTTCTGGATGTTGAAGGCCTGGTTGTAGCTGACGTGTTGTTTGTCTACAATTGTCGTGAGGATGTCGAGCTTCTTCTGGATGCCGTTATGTTGGGACTAGTATTCGGTGATGATGTCTGATATCGGAGATTGCTCGGCGTTCCGCATGGCATTGGTCTGAGCGATGGTGCCCCGTGCCCATAGGTCGCTGTTGCTGTTGCAGGACATGGTGACGATTGCGACCGTCCCCTTCGCTCACCTTGATTGTGCCGTGTTCGAAAGAGTCCTCCATTCTAGTGTGCGACGAGTGGCGTATGGTCGCTGCCATCGGGAAGTTGATGGCGACGGGGTTGACCTTCTGGCGTGTGATCGTGGTAATGGGCAACCAGCCACTGGGCCTCTGAGGTACGACTTCTATGACAGGTGGTTGGTTGGCGCTTGCTGTTGGCGCGCTGTCGCTGGACGTCGGGTTGGAGCAGCTGGGTTCACTGTTTTTTGCTTCGCTCCTGTGAGTCGAATTCGTGCTGTCTGGTCTTGACCTCGTCGTCGATCACGTGTGCATGCTGTTCTGCTGTTTTTTCTCTGACTTTGTAGGGTGGGCGGTCCTTTGGATATCGCAGGCTTCGCCGCTAGCGTTGGCCTTCTCTGCGTGAGCTGCAGGTCAGCATTTGCCCGGGTAGTTCGCGCTGGTCGCTGCGCCTGTTGTGGTCGGAATTCTGGAAAGGCTGCATTCCAGTCGAGGAAGTAGCTCTGGGCCCAGTTGATGGGCTGAAAACCAGCGTTGCGTAGCTTCTCGCGGTGATGAAACAAATGGCGGGAGCTGCGATTGTCCTCGTCCTCGGTGAGATACTGTTTTCCGTTGTGGGCGTCTTGTTCAGATAACTAGTCGATGTTGCTGACCTTGATCAACATGATGCCGCCTAGCAATATGTGGGTCGCTTGTATGCTGGTGGTTCGTAATCAGGTCTCTGTCATATCTCTGGTAATGCATCTCCATCTGAGGTACCTCGGCGTGGTGAACGATGATATTCTGCTTGTGGGCCTCCGCGTGGACGTTGGTGGTTCCGTCGGTTCTTGCCGCGAATGTCTCCGAGGTCGCGGCGATATCCTGTAGCACCTTGGCTGTGTGTTCGATGGGGGCGTTGGAGGGCCACTTGGGGAAGTCGCCGGTGGGTGAGCTCAGTGCTAGACTCGTCACGCGGTCGATCCCCTTCATGGGTATTGGCGGCGGTCGGCATGCGCCCGCCCGCGCTGCAGTCCTGCGATTTCTCGCCGGTGGCACAAGTACACTGGCACTCGCTGTCCTCTGGGGTCGGTTTCTTCGCAGTGCAGTCCGCAGGTCGCATGTGAATAATGTGATGGCGGTCGGCGGGTAGGATGTAGTTGTCCGCGCATGGGCGCAATGCCTCTCCGCCGCGGGTGTCCGCGATGTCTCTTGCGCATGCTGCCAGTATTCCAATTTCTGTGGTGGGGTGCAGCGTGCCGTAGATGTCGGCGATTGCCCTGATGTACGAATTCTGGGTGCATCTCTCTATGTTGCCGTGGAAGGCTTTGCGCTCGAGATCTTCGAAGTGTGGCGCTTTTCCATGTCTTTCCTTTTGGGGATGCGCAGCGTCCGGGGGCTCGCAAAGGGCTCTTCGTCCTTGTTCTTCCAAGGTGGTGCTTGTAGTAGTGGTGGCACGATGGTTGCCAGCCTTTGGATGTCGTGCCACTCCAAATTGTAGACGGAGATCTTCTTAGGGTCTCGGTCGATTGCTGCATCTTCTTGTGCGCGGCATGTTGTAGCAGCGCGGTAGCGAGGGCAATGATCAGGTCGATCCAGTGGTCTGCGTCGGTCCATAGAGCTCGTTGTTGGAGTGCGCGATGAAGCTGTCCAGTACGGCGACCCAGCTTTCCTTGACCTCGCCCTTCCAAGACATCCCAGCTGCTGCGAGGTAGGCGATCGTGATGCGATGTCGGTAGGTGGCGCGCACGGAGCCCCCCTTCACTGCCGCGGGTACGTAGTTGTAGCCCAGATAGAGGTAGACGTAGGTGTAGTTGCGCGACAAGGTCTCAGCCGCGTTGACTCCTTGGGATGATTTGCCGGTGCAAGGGGCGGCGCCTTGTGGTTCTGCTCGGGGGTCTCCAGGGGTGTAGATGAGCGCCTTCTTGTTGTTGTAGCCCTTGCTGTAGGACATGGGAGTAGGCATTCATTCTGGTTGGTGCGCATGTGGCGTCTCGCTTCGTGTCCTGCGCGGGGCTGAGCTGATATATGCAGCTCGTTGCTGGTCGTGACCTCGTTGGCGCAGTGGGCCTTGACCTCGGTGATGTCGATGAACTTGGGGAATGTTCCAAGCGCGTCTGCAGGTAACCAGATGTCTTCTGCTGGATCTTGAAGAGT